AGTAAATATAAATTTCCCCTAATTCTTGATATAAAAAGCATTCTGTATAGGTGTCATCTTAAAGGGGTTTCTGTCTGTTTAGCCTGGATACCTAGTCATAGTGGTATTTGTGAAAATGATAAAGCAGATTTGTGTGCCAAAGAGGCTACTAGAAATGGCACCCCACTAAATGTTACTTATTCCCATGACTTGTTGTCACTTGCTAGGAAAAAGCTTGTTAATACGTGGAATGTATCTCATTCCACGTATTAACAAATGTATCATCAGAATGGAAAGCATCACAAATACTAAAAGGCAAGCACTATGCTGCTATACAAGATAACATTACATCAAGACCTTGGTTTTTCATATTTAATAAAGCAAACAAACGTGCCACCTCTATTGTCTGCCGGTTGAGAATTGGACATGCCTGTACCTATGTTCACCTAGCTAAACTCAGGATTAGGGATATTTTCTGTGCGAATGTGGTTTAGATGAGGGAAACACTAATCATATTTTTTTTTAACTGCACCAAATTGTCATAATCTTTTTACGATTATCTGCCCCCTGACATCCCTCGTCCTATAGACTTTAACTCCCTTCTAATCTTCACAAATACCTCTTTTGTATATATTTTATGTGATTTTATTAACTCTAACAACATTAAACTATAATTTGTTTGTCATATAATAACACATTTGTATTGTTCTAACAAGATTGTCTGTCTTTTGTTTTAGGTGATTCAGCAGTTAAGTTGACCAAAATCATTCACATAAAACGTCACTGAGTACCGGAACAAACTTGTGTCTGAAGTCGAGTCTTTGCTGGACAAAGTCTCGGATTGGGGGCGACTAAATCTAGTCCAGTTTAATCCTCAGAAGACACAAGTTTGCGCGTTTACCGCTAAAAAGAACCCCTTTGTCGTATCTCCTCAGTTTCAAGGTACTCCCCTTGTTGCCTCAGCCAGTATCGGAATCCTCGGCGTCGACATATCGAGTAGCGTGCAGTTTCGTGGTCACTTGGAAGAGAAGGCCAAATTGGCCTCAAAAAAGCTTGGTGTGCTCAGCAAAGCGGGACAGTATTTCATGCCGGCTCAACGCCTGCAACTTTACAAGGCGCAGGTTCGGCCTCACATGGAATACTGTTCCCATCTCTGGGCTGGGGCTCCCCAGTGCCAGCTTCTTCCACTTGACCGCATCCAGCGCAGAGCGGCTCGAATCGTCGACGACCGAGTCCTTTCCGATCGGCTCGACTCATTGGCACTGCGAAGAGATGTTGCATCTCTTAGCATTTTCTTTCGCATTTACCATGGGGAGTGCTCTGAGGAATTGTTCGGATTAATCCCAGCCGCCAAATTTCACGAACGCACATCGCGGCAGAATTCCCGATACCATCCACACCATCTGGATGATTGGCGGTCCACCACTGTGCGATTTAGAAGATGTTTTCTTCCTCGCACAACTTCTTTGTGGAATAGTTTACCACCAGCGATTTTTCCGGACCGATACGACTTAGGGACCTTCAAGAAAAGAGCCTACTCCTTTTTAAAAGGCCGGCAACGCATCTGCAATTCCCCTGGTGTTGCGGTTGTTCATGGGCGGCGGTAGTCACTTACCATCAGGTGAGCCGCATGATCGTTTGCCCCCTCTCCTATAAAAAAAAAAATTAAAAAAAACATAATATTCGTTTGTTACCATTTCTTGTATTATCAATTTCCTTTTTTAAGCAGAGTTTGTGTCCCAATTAAACCTTCTCACATGTAACATGTCATTGGCGAATTCATCGTAACCGCCATAAAGGAAGAAGAAGAAGACATTGGGACGTCGAACACCTCAGTCCCCCCTGTGACCATAGGTGTGTGTGTGTGTTGTGTAAAGTGCTTGAAATGTCAGGAATATAACATAACTTTATATATGCGATAAAATCCGTAAAATATAGTTTAATTTAATTGTGTAATATTTGCATATATGTAAGAAATCATTTTGACATCTTTGTATTAGACTAGGAATATTTATAATGTTATTATAAATTAAATAAGAAGAAATGTACCTACTTTAGGTGGTGGGCTGCTTTTCAGTCTGTCTTGTACTCCGTCTGGATCTGTACCATCCTCTGACCTATTCATGATGCTAATACAGTCAGTATAATTACACACTGTAAGGCATTCTGTCTTAGTACCCAGAGGTGACAAAGCATCTGTTGAATGGGTAGGCTCGACCGGGGAAGGACCACGCTCACGCAGAATACCAACGTAAAATAGCAGCTTAGTGCTGCTGTGTTTCGTATGGTCACTGTAGAGAATCTGAGACTCTTTTTACAGAAAAAGAGGTGTTCCATCTTAATCCTCACGGCTGACATCGTATCTGCATTTTGATTCGTAATCGAAGTTAGATTGAATCGCAAACAAGGATAAATGTAGATGTCTATGGGCCCCAGCAACCACTTACCATCAGGTGGACGGTGTGCTCGCTTGTCACCCTTATACCACAAAAAGCAAAATACCTTCTAATTGCTAAAAAGGAAGTTATTTACTTGCTACCCTTAGGGGTGGAATTTTTTCTGCAAATTTATATGGGACCACCCTTGAAGTATAACCTATTAAATAAAAAAAGAATCATCAAAATTGGTTCACAATCTGCGAAGATATTGCGTAACATACATACAAAAAAAAAACATACACTTGAATTGAGAACCTCCCCCTTTTTGAGGTCGGTTAATGAAATTAGCTTAAGCTTTTATTACATTTAGTTGTACACTACTGAACATAGGGATATATCAATGCCTCCATAGGGGGGGGGGGGGATATTTACCATAATTGACATGCTGGACAGGCTTTTAGTTGTTAAAGTTAAAAAAGTTAAAGTTACAGCCTATATAAGCCCCACTGCTGAGCACAGGCCTCCTCTAATTACTGAAACTCCTCTAATTTCTGAGAGGGTTTTAGGGGAAGGAAATATCCGCCGCACAGCCCCAATGCGCGTTAGCGAACTTCACATGTCTTCGAATTTTTTTTCTTATTTCTCAGACATGCAGTTTTCCTCACGATGTTTTCATTCACCGCCGAGCACTTGGTAAATCAGCACATAAAATTGCAATTAATAATTTCATTTGTGCCGGGGGTTTGAACCCGGGTTGCTCATGTATTGTGAAATTTAAAGCCAGGGCTAACCATCTGAGCTACCACGGCTCACGCCTCACGGTTTTACTTGTACAACATGGAAAATAAACTTTTTGGTTTTATATCCATTAGACGGCTCCGTGTGCAGTGGCTTAGCAATGAGTTGTTGCGCTGGAGGTTGCAGGTTTGAATCCCACACCGAACAAATACTTGTTCCTTGCAGGATGTTTGTCCTCATGCAATTTATGTTTGTAAACCCTTATACTATTAAAACAAATTGTCTATACGATACAGGAGAAAATCCTAGTGTTGAGATAACATTTCTTAATATAATATTAAAAGAAAATTAAAAGATTACAGATGTTAAGGTATGGTATTTTTGTCTATTACATTTATTGTATAATTACTTGGTTTAGTAATTTTGTAAAACTATTTATATATGTTACTGCTTAAGGATGGGACAAACTGCCACTAAAGTGGTCCTGAAATAATCTGCTATGTACAACAGTGAATTAGTACAGCTGATCTGACTGTGCGGAACTGATTTGTTCTCGTTTGTCACGCTTATTCTATAAAAAATCGGGGTGTGGGTGTGTCGTGGACATAGCTGTGTGTTTTAAGTGAATATGTGTACGTAACGATACAACCTCAGAATGACAGCGCTCCCCCCACCGTCACGCGCGATGCGTCATAGTCCTCACTCAATGTTACAAATTCGTTGATCCTTTAGCTGTGGAGTGGTGTAATTAAATGTTGGATGTAGATGATAGACAGGCAGCTGCAACACATTACTGTATATCTCGATTTTGTTATTGTCAGTTTTCCAAATTGTCTCCCACTATTGAAGCAAATTTAAAGATATGTATATTCACTTAAAATATATTGCAAACAATATTGTAGGTTATCTCATTTCGAATAAAAAAATGTACTCATTCACACCAAACTTATTTTATTAATATTGATAATTGTTACTTCATTACATTAAACTTCTACGATACTAAAGTAAATGTTAATTTTGGAAAATTATTTAAATGTTCATAAATAGTTAACTAATATTTTGTTTTAATAATTAAAAAGTTTGTACAACCAACTTCAATATAAATTATTAAGAATAACTCAAAAGCTATTGGTTAGACTTTGATCAAATTTATATGGGACCACATGAGAAGCCTCAGCTTTCAAATAAAAAAAGAATCATCGAAATCGGTTCACCCAGAAAAAGTTATGAGGTAACATACATAAAAAAATACAGTCGAATTGAGTACCTCCTCCTTTTTGAAGTCTGTAGAAAAAGGGGGTTTTCAGGCACTTCAGTTACTGTAAAACGTAAAAATAAGCCGGCATTCTGCACATCATAGTTAATATTAGTTCTAATTGATGGAGCTAGTTTTTATAAATCAATGCAACATTGCTGCAAGTGTGGGCAGCAGAAGCTGGTTATAGGTTGGTTCGTTTGTCATTTTCAAACCAAGAAATATTCTGCAGGGGCTGCTGACGGAACTCGATACAGCGAAGAATCTGTTAAAGTCGACGATTCAGTGCAAGCGCTGCGGGAAACGGCTGGTGATAGACAAAAAGCAGGCCACCGTGCAGTACTGTGAGTACGTATCTTCTTCTTTTTCATTAGTTCGTAAAAATCCACTGTTGGATATGCACTTCTACGGTTGTAGGCAGGTTTTGTCATATTCTTTACGCCTGGTTAGCTGCTAAACGTCAGGTTGTGCAATTGTCGATCCGCTAACCGTTAGCGGATTAATAATTGCAGAACCTGACGTGAGCACGCTTGACGCTGCTCCCCGTCGTCGGTCTGGGTATTTTACGTCTGGTGTATACGAGACGGTTATACCGCTTACTTTCTTAAGATTTTTCTTGTATGTGTATGTAATAGAGCTGTGATTACTGATTAGCATGCGCCGGTTCTTTTGTTATCTAAACAGAACCGGTTCTGCAGGCCATTATCGTCATAGTCATCGTCATTATCATCGTCATCGTCATCGTCATCGTCATGGTCGTTGTCGTCATCGTCATCGTCATGACCGTTTTCTTCATCATGGTCATCATCATCATTATGATCATAATCGTCTTTGTCATCGTCCTCATCGTCATGGTCGTTGTCATCATCGTCATCGTCATGATCGTTATCGTCATCATGGTCATCGTCATCATTATGATCATTATCGTCATTGTCATCGTCCTCATCGTCATCGTCATCGTCACGGTCGTTGTCGCCATCTTCATCGTCATGATCGTTTTCTTCATCATGGTCATCATCATCATTATGATCATAATCGTCTTTGTCATCGTCCTCATCGTCATGGTCGTTGTCATCATCGTCATCGTCATGATCGTTATCGTCATCATGGTCATCGTCATCATTATGATCATTATCGTCATTGTCATCGTCCTCATCGTCATCGTCATCGTCACGGTCGTTGTCGCCATCTTCATCGTCATGATCGTTTTCTTCATCATGGTCATCATCATCATTATGATCATAATCGTCTTTGTCATCGTCCTCATCGTCATGGTCGTTGTCACCATCGTCATCGTCATGATCGTATTCGTCATCATAGTCATCGTCATCATTATTTTCATATACGTCTTTGTCATCGTTCTCATCGTCATCGTCATCGTCACGGTCGTTGTCACCATCGTCATCGTCATGATCGTTATCGTCATCATGGTCATCATCATCATTATGATCATAATCGTCTTTTTCATCGTCCTCATCGTCATTGTCATCGTCATCGTGATCGTCATCGTCATGGTCGTTGTCACCATCGTCATTGTCATGATCGTATTCGTCATCATGATCATCGTCATCATTATGATCATAATCGTCTTTGTCATCGTTCTCATCGTCATCGTCGTCGTCACGGTCGTTGTCACCATCGTCATCGTCATGATCGTTATCGTCATCATGGTCATCGTCATCATCGTCATCATAATCGTCATTGTCATTGTCATGGTATTCGTCATCATCATCGTCATCATCGTCATCACCATGGTCATCTTCATCATCATGGTCATTTTCATCATCGTCATCGTTTTATCGTCATCATCATCACTAGTGCACTTCTGAACATTCACGAACACTTCTTCTACCTTCATCAACTTCCTGCATAGTTTACATGTAGTAAAGACTTACCACTACACGCTCCACTAACCCGTAACGAAGCTGCTACTAGAGTATATTTTTTCTCTGTTGGTTTTTTTCCTTGGTAGAGCCATGCCGTAGCTATGTTATGGTTGGCTCGACCGGGGTAACATAAAATAGCAGCTTAATGCTGCTGTATTTCGTATATCGTAGTGTAGATGATCGGATACACCTTTTACTGGAAACAAGGTAATTCCGTCTCGGTCCTCGGGGATAACAAGGCATCTGCATTTTGATTCGTAATCGACGATAGATTTAGATGTCTACAGGCCACAACATTCACTTACCATCAGGTGGAATGTGTGCTCGTTTGTCGCCCTTAATCTGTATTAAAAAAAAATTGCCGGCCCATTGCTAATTAAAATTACTGATTCTTTGGGTTATGTTGGTTATTCTGGTTCCACTGTGAATATCTCCAATATGTAGGTAGTCGTATCATGTAGATATACTCTGAGCATAACCTTCTTTATAGCTTGTTGAGTGATCATGAGCTTCAGTACTTCTGCTCCACTCCACGCTGTAATTGATCAGCTTTTGAAGGACTCCAACTATCTTTCAAGGATAGAGTGCTCCATAATGCTCTCAGAAAAGAGGTTAAAGCCAATGCCAAAAGTGGGACGTATTTAAGTAGAGAGCCGTGGTAGCTCCGATGGTTAGCGCTCGCTGTAAGTTTCACAGTACGCGAATATCCCGGGTTCGATCTCCGCCGGCACCAATGAAATTGTTATTTGAAATTTTAAGTGTTGATTTACCACGTGTTCGGCGGTGAAGGAAAACATCGTGAGGAAACCTGCATTTCTGAGAAATAAAGAAAAATATATGTCGGAGAATGTGAAGTTCGCCAACACGCATGGGGACAGCTCGGCCGACACTTCCTCTCCCTAAAACCCTCTCACAAATGAGAGAAGGACTGTGACCAGCAGTGGGACGTAATGTATATAGGCTGTAACTTTAACTTATTTAAGTCATGTCATCAGTCATAATTGTGCTGTTGACGTTGTTTCGCTTCGAAGCTATATAGTTTTTAAACAGTGACCACCAGTCCAGGATATGTTGCTTATTTATATTTTGGTGCTGTCACAGCTGCAAAGATGGTCATCCCGCAGAGAAGTCAATAGACGGCTGGGTGCCGTTCATGGAGGCGGAAGATGTTATAATTTGGCGTAAAGAATACAAGACCGGTCAAGGCCTTTACGCGTACAAAGGTAAGTTTCATTTATTACATCTCTTCTCTACATACTATAAAACAAAGTCGCTTCCCGCCGTCTGTACGCTTAGATCTTTTGAACTGCGCAACGGATTTTGATGCGGTTTGATATTTAATGGACATAATCATTCAAGAGGAAGGGTTATATGTATAAAACATGCATATTATATATTATACTATTCTAATCATTATACATACTCGTATATATATAATTCTTCTGTCGTACATACGTATACATATATAAGTCATCTGTCCGTGTGATGTAACTGAACTCCTAAACGGCTGGATTGATTTTGATGAAATTGTGATTGTGATTTGTGTGTGATTAAGTTGATTAGAGAATGGTTTAGGTTCATAATTGTAGCCGGCAGGTTGTGTTGTTGTCGAGATTGAAGAAATAGAGAGTGCAAGCGTACACACACACACACATACTTGCGTACTATACTGACCGCGGTTGAGACTGGCCGCGGTGACCGAATTTTGGTGTGACGGACATTTTTATTAATATCTTAAAATCTTGCGGAGATATGCTTGGTTAACAAGTAAGGGTGACAAACCTGCACACAGTCCACCTCATGGTAAGTGGTTACTGTGGCCCATAGACATCTACATCTATCTTCGTTTGCGAATTAAAATGCCGATGCATTGTCAGCCGTGAGGACTAAGATATAATGCCTCTTTTCCAGTAAAATGGATCTCCGGTTCTCTACACTCACCATACGAAACACAGCAGCATTAAGCTGCTATTTTACGCTGGTATTCTGTGAGAGCGTGGTCCTTCCCTGGTCGAGCGGACCCATTGTTTTTGTTTTGTTCGAGCAAATTTATTACTTGCCATTTTTTAAATATAAAGTTGATAAATGAGTAACATAGTCCACTTAATGGTAAGTGAATTTTCTGGTCTATGTAGACCTGCATCTGTCTTAGATTAAGATTCAAAATTCATGCGCGTCGCTATGGACCTAGGGTTGCCATCTCCTAAAATAAAAAAGCCGGACTCGGCGCTCCAAAAAGCCAGACTTTTGGCCCTAAAAGTCGGACAGTAATTTTTAACCAAACATACCTTTTTGACGCCATGCAGCCAAAAAACTCATCAACTCCAACCCCCCGAGAAAAAAACTAAAATACTCCGTTACATACGTTAATTGTTTATTAATCAATCACAGCACAGTTTAAGTGTATACGTTATTTATTTATTTATTCTGCGAGCGATGCTTGCAACGCGTTACAAAAAGCCTAACAAAAGCCGGACAGGCCAGACGCATAAAAATTTGGCCGGATGCAACCCGAAAAAGCCAAACATGTCCGGCTAATCAGGACAGATGGCAACCCTATATGGACCAAAATGGAATGCCGCATTAATAACTTAAATTAGAAATTAAAAAAACACCCGAAACGAAAAGAGCCGATGATCTTCAAACGGCTGAAAAGATTTTCTTGAATCTTAGCTAAGAACACTCCCGACCAAGTCACCTTTAAAAAAAACTAAATCTAAATCGGTCCACTCGTTTGGGAGTATTAGTGTAGATGTCTATGGACCACGGCATTCACTTACCATCAGGTGGACTGTGTGCTCGTTTGTCACCCTTAACCTATAAAAAAAAAGATTTTCGTATAAAATATAGCATTGCTCTGTGTGTTCGTGAAGTTTCCTTACAATCGGTTTATAGTTTTAACACTGGTTCGGAAAAAGCCTTTGTCCTTTTCCGAACCAGCAAGAAACCCAGCAGGAATTCTTTGATTATACCTAGTCAGGTCATAAGTATTGTCACACAGTAAAAACTTTTCTTTTAGAATGCTGACCACAAAAAAGTTTATTGAATTCGAATTTCGAATTGTTCATGAAAATAAAACTGTATACTTTTTAGAATTTTACTCATTTTTAAATATGGAGTGAACGCTTAAAGAAGACCGTGTTGCAGTTATTGCGTTGCATCGTTGCGGTTACACGCCAATTCAAATTTATGACATACTGAAAAATTTGAATATAACATAAAGATTCGTTTATCGTACCATCAAACGATACAATGAAGACTCTAGTGTAGATGACAGGTCAAGAAGTGGTCGCCCTCGGTCTGTTAGGACTCCAGCAGTGATAAAAGCTGAGAAGGCGCGAATTCAAAGAAATCCCAAACGTAAGCAGAAACTGTTGGCCCTTCAGATGGGGTTAAGCAAAACCACGGTGAAAAGGGTGTTAAATGAAGACTTAGGACTTCGGGTATATCAAAGAAAAACAGGACATCGTTTGTATGCTCGTCTAATGGACCTGAGACTAAAGAGATGCCGCGGTTTGTTGAAGCGGTACGCGGGAAAAAAATATCGGGAAATTCTTTTTTCGGATGAAAAAATTTTTACCGTAGAAGAGAGCTACAACAAACAAAATGATAAGGTGTACGCACACAGTAGTGAAGAAGCGAGCAACCGTATTCCGCGTGTCCAACGAGGTCATTTTCCATCCTCGCTCATGGTATGGTTGGGAGTTTCTTATTGGGGCTTAACAGAGGTATATTTTTGTGAGAAAGGTGTAAAAGCGAATGCAGTTGTGTATCAAAATACAGTCCTGACGAACCTTGTGGAACCTGTTTCTCATACCATGTTCAATAACAGGCACTGGGTATTCCAACAAGATTCGGCGCCAACTCATAGAGCGAAGAGCACACAAGACTGGCTGGCGGCGCGTGAAATCGACTTCATCCGGCACGAAGACTGGCCCTCCTCCAGTCCAGATTTGAATCCGTTAGATTACAAGATATGGCAACACTTGGAGGAAAAGGCGTGCTCAAAGCCTCATCCCAATTTGGAGTCACTCAAGACATCCTTGATTAAGGCAGCCGCCGATATTGACATGGACCTCGTTCGTGATGCGATAGACGACTGGCCGCGCAGATTGAAGGCCTGTATTAAAAATCACGGAGGTGATTTTGAATAAACTTTAGTGTCATAAGAATCTATCTTTTGTTAAGTTCATTTTGGTATATAAATGGTTACATAATGAATAAACTTGTTTCAATTATTTTATATTAAACATGTGACAGAATTTATGACCTGACTAGGTATAATATAATATCAGATATTATTAAAAAATAAACATTTGATTTTCTATTTGTTAACATATAAAAAGTATATTAAATAGAAATGCCACAATAATAAACACTGACTGACAACCCTAATCACTCTTGTAGGCGATTACAGCAAACAATGTTATGTAAGGTTGGATGTAAGGTTATCCTACTTTAGAACGTTACGTCTCAATTTAGCGGCTTGTTACATCGATCACAGATAAACAATGCATTCAAGTACAAACTATATTTAGATTTCAGATCAAAGATTGTATGATTTGTTAATATTAAATGGTTAAACGAACTTACCTTTTGTGTAGATCAAAAAGAAATGCGGTGGAGAATATTCTTAGGCCGCCATTACACAGCTACTGATGCTTACTGAGGAATTATTAACTGACTTGTAATGTAATGCAGTGGCGTAGCTAGGCGTGGGCGAAGTGGGTCCTCGCCCATGGTCTCGCACTTAAAGGGGTCTAGCGTGGCCCTTTAAAATGCGATGTCCCCAGACTTTACACCACAGATGACTAATTAATTTGATTACTTTTACGCTCGAAGAAGAACGACACAAATTTAAAAGCGTATTTGTTTGGGGCCTCGCAAGAAGCCCCACTTAAGTGCGACTGCGAGGTCGTTGTAACCACCTTCAAAGACCGCGACCGTTATATTGACGGAATACGAGACTTGTCAGGAATTAATAGCTATGAGTAGGTAGATATGTCGTGTCAAGGCATGTTTGGTAGGATAGATCTATTAGGTAGATCTTGGGAACGAAAGAAAAGGGGCCTCCGTGATACGACTTCGCCTACGTCTATACTAGTCCACTCTACCCCCCTGATGTAATGTCTTGCATCTCTTTGCATTTTCTATCGCATTTCCAACTGGTAGTGCTCTGAGGAATTGTTCGGATTAATACCAGCCGCCGAATTTCATCAACGCACATATCGAGTCAACACTCAAGATACCATCCACATCATCTGCATGCTTGGCGATCCATCACTGTGTGTTTTACTAGAAGTTTTCTTCCTTGTACAACCTATCTGTGAAATTGTTTATCACCAGCGATTTTTTCCGGACCGATACGACTTAGGGACCTTCAAGAAAAGAGTCCACACCTTTCTAAAAGGCCGGCAACGCATCTGCGATTCCCCTGGTGTTGCAGTTGTGCATGGGCGGCGGTAGTCACTTACCTCAGGTGAGCCGCATGCTCGTTTGCCCCCTCTTCTATAAAAGAAAATGTCCTCCAGGCTGAATTGCGGTCACGGCGGCCAGTCTCAACGGAGACTAGCCATCGGCGCAGGACAGGATTATAGTGCTCAAGTGTATGCGCAAGCATAGGTGCACTCTCTATTGCTTCACTCTCATAGTCCGATGGGACGGTTATCCGACACGAGCGGAGATAGATCAGACGCAAGGACAACGCCTTTACGTGCCATCCGAGGCACGGGGGTGAGACACCGCCAACCTCCTGACTCCGGGCAGCTACTGAGAATTTCTTTACGAAAACCCAATAAGTGCTTTTGGCCCGACACCAATGAAATAGCTCAATGATTATGTGTCTTTGCTTCAGTGTACGGTCGATACCCGGAAGTGAACGCGCGCGATTTCGCCGCAGTACAACTGGACGGTGCGTACCGCCGGGCGTGGGACGCTGCAGTCGCTGCACTAGCCGTGGTGCAGCGTTCCGCGAACGGAGTGCAAGGACAGACCGTTCTACATTGGGAGGTCTTGTGGCCGGTAAGTAGTTCATAATATACTGGGCGAAAACCTCATTTTTCGACGTACAGTTGCAGTCTATATACGACCCCCTACTGGGCACAGGACTTCTCTCATTCCTGAGAGGGTTTTAGGGCAAGGAAATGTCTACCGCGCTGCACTAATGCGTGTTGGAGAACTTCACGTGTCTTCGAAATATTTGTTATTCTTATTTCTGAAACATGCAGGTTTCTTCACGATGTTTTCCTACACCGCCGAGCACGTGGTAAATCGGCACTTAAAATTGCAATTAATAATTTCTTTGGTGCCGGCGGGTATCGAACCCGGGTTGCTCACGTACTGTGAAACTTACAGCGAGCGCTAACCATCTCAGTTACCACGGCTCTCTTAAAGCTTTAAATTTGCTTCAATAGTGGGAGGCAATTCAGAAAACTGACGATAACAAAATCGAGGGATACATTTAGGTGTTGCAACTGCATATCTATCATCTACATCAAACATTTAATTACACCACTCCATAGCTAAATGATCAACGAATTTGTAACATTGCGTGAGGACTGTGACAATCGCGCGTGACGGTGGGGGAGGGGGGGAGCGCCATTCTTTTAGATTTGCTTATTGATAGGCTTTGTCTTGAGAGACTTTTACTGATAACGAGGTATTCCATCTCAGTCTTATGGTGTGACAACGCATCTGTATTAAGTAACATCAAATTACGTAGTCGAGGGTAGATGTAGATGTCTATGGGCCACAGTATCCACTTATCATCAGGTAGACTGTGTGCTCATTTGTCACCCTTATTCTATAAAAAATTCATCGTTGTAGCTTACCGTTACCGCAACTGAGTGATGTGCTTTTTTGGCATGATTTCGACGTATAGTTAGTACAGTTCTTTTTACATTATAATTGTATATTGTTGTGTGCGTCAATGGCTTATGCCAAAATAATTAAAAATGTTGTACAACCGACTTCAATATAAATTAATAAGAATAACTCTAAAACTATTGGTCAGACCTTGATCAAATTTATATGGGACCACATGAGAAGCAGCAGCTTTCAAATAAAAAAGAATCATCGGAATCGGTTCACCCAGAAAGAAGTTATGAGGTAACATACATAAAAAAAACATACAGTCGAATTGAGTACCTCGTCGTGTTTGAAATCTTTAGATAAATTGTTTCTTACTTTCTCTCTTTAAGTGTCCCTTGCAGTAGTCCATGAGTCATAATATAGACGACGGGACGCTGCGATTGTGTAACTGGTGGAAACCGATGGCACCGATCGACTTGTATAAGGGTAGGTTAAGGCACCCACACTTTATTCTTAGATTGACAGTTGACACACACGATAGTTATTTAGCAAACGCTTGTTCCGTGAGCTAAGTGATTCTTTTTATGCTTAGGAGTCTGTTTGGGTAGGTAGCGGCACAGTAGCAGTGGTGACAATGAATCTGTGATATGTACTGAATTAGCCGCTTATTATCAGGTGGACTGACTGTTAGTTCCTTCATCACGTTATATTCATAAAATAACTGGCCAAGTGCGACTCGGACTCGCGCATCAAGGGTTCCGAACCATTGTAAAACACGTTCCTAGTAGGAGAGTCCCCTTTAATTTATTTTTATTATTTGTTATTATATCGGCAACAGAAATACACATTCTGTGAAAATTTCAACTGTCTACCCATTACGGATCATGAGATACAGCCCGCTAACAGACGGACGGACGGACGGACGAACAGCTGATGCTTAGTAATAGGGTCGCGTTGGTTACCCTTCGGGTATGGAACCCTTATAAGGGCTATTACTGTTCTTGCAACAGCGATTAAGGCCAAATAAGAGCAACAATTAGAGTCTTTCGTTGTTAATGCTAAGTCGTAATATATCATCGGAAATAAGTCCATTAATAGCATCACCTCTCCTTTCCAGAGACTCTTTGCGAACCGAGACTACGTATACATCAGACGGCACAAGGAGTTCGACGTCCACAACGAACCCCTCACACGAACCGACAAAGCCAATGTCGACAGCCCTAAGTTAAACCCCAACGAAATGACAAGCGTTCAGGCGAAAGCGAAACGGAAAGCTATGGAGAACTACGAGAGGGAAAGAGAGTACAGTAGGAGGGAGTTCGTCGACAATAAAGTGTATATAATAGTGTCGAGGTCTTGCGAGCGTCCAGACGTCCCGGAGACGAAGCACGCTATACGAGTGGTGGAGTATTGGAGTCATATGGTGGTGAAGACTCTCGAGGGAGCTGATAAGGTGGCGTATTCGTTAATTGGTATCAACGGTGCGATGATGTAACTCTGGTGGAAATCACGATCGGCATCGTTCTAACGTTTGATTTTGTTGTCTAATTGTATCTGTATATAATATATTATACAGATACAATGTCGATGTTTTTTTGCTACCACGTTTTTGGCCGAATTCAATAAATAGGTTCGGAATTGGACTGTACGTTCTTTTGTTTGCATGTATGTTACACGATGTCTTCGCCATTGGTTGACCGATTTTATTGATACTTCTTTTTGACCCCCGACGAAAAAAAGTTTGACCGCTATTTTTGTGTATGTGTGTCTGTCTGTCTGTGTGTACAAATAAATAAAATTGAAGTGTCTGTTTGTAATGTCAAAATAACAGCATTTTTACTAAATGCATATGAAAGTATGTACGGTACTTATAACATAAACACAATTTTAAAAATTTTTGCCTGTCTGTCTGTCTGTTCTGTCTTGTCTCTCCAAAACGGTTGGACCGATTTTGACGGGACTTTCACTAACAGATAGCTAATGATATACGGAGTAACTTAGAGTACTTTTATTATAGAAAAGGAATTAGGGTTCCTCGCAAAGAGATTAAAAGCCATAAAATCTAATCGTAATAAATTCCACGCGGGCAAAGTCGCGGGAAACAACTAGTTAGATATAATATTTTTAAGTCTATTCTAAACTTCCATCGGGAAATTATGAGACTAGGGACTTGAAACTTTAACTAAAGCTTATTGTGACACAATGAGTTTTAATTAAAGTTGTGTGTTTGTCCGATCGGTAGAAATTTTGCAATACATTTTAAATTAAGTGTCCGGTGCTGCTGAGCTGAAGTGACTTGAAATTTTAACCACGTTTTCTATATTAGTAACATATTTTAGGTTACAAAGTGTTGTCACTGTCATGCGGAGTGATTCCCACCAGCAACGATTACCACCAGAGTTACATAATCGCATCCTCTTGCAGACGTTCATTTTAACCCTAAGAAGTCTACTGTTGGATATGAGTCTCTTAGTACTCGTATCTGTTGCTCTCTGTCGCTGACCTGGGTATTCTACGTCCGGCGTAAAGGAGATCTCTTTCGACACCCACGGTATGGAATGTGTGATGGAATCTCTTATGCAGACTCCACACGGTAATCACCATTGTTCGACTTTTCAAGTTTAGGAGACCTGTAAACTTAATAAGTAAAAATTAAAAATTTTGTATTACCGACTTCAATATAAATTATTAATAATAACTCAAAAACTATTGGTTAGACCTTGATCAAATTTATATAGGACCACACGAAAAGCACCAGTTTCAAATAATAAAATAATCATCGAAAACGGTTCACCCAGTAAAAAGTTATGAGGTAACACATAAAAAAGGGCATACAGCCGAATTGAGTACCGTCTCCTTTTTGAAGTCGGTAGAAAAATGGGGTTTAAAGTTGAACACTATTTTAAAGTTGCTTTCTATGAAATAGCGTTTAATAAAACTGCACAAATAAAAACAGAACAATGTCTGAAGTTATCTAGACTATATTTTAAAATAAAAACTTTTGAAAAAAGAGAAATATTGATAAAAATAATAATCTTTGACTTTACCTCTAAATGAAGCCATATTACTATTAATAATGTAATATAACTATTAATAATACTATCTATATACTACTCTGGCGAAGACAGAACTGGTCGCTATTAAATAAATAAACAAAATGCACAATAAATTGCAAAACTAATTACAAACCGCCTCAGTTAACTTGATACGGCAAAAAAATAGTCTATGGAATACTTTCAAGTGTTGATTAATCTGGGGGCACGGCAGTGCCCCCGCCAAGTTGAGCAAAAAAGCGGCACAGCCGTACCATCTTTTTCACGATGCAGTTCAGGCCATTTTCGACCCCTATAAATCAAGGAAAAATTAAAATATTTTGCAATTTCGGTCCAGTTTACGAGATACACCAACTACATAAATAACTTTGTAATCCCATATAAATATATAGGATTACAAAGTTACATTTGCAGTATAGTGGCGGTTAAGAATATCCACTACCCCATATCTTCCCGTGGGTGTCGTAAAAGGCGACAAAGGGAAACAGGCAGGAAATGGGCAGCAGCATCTTCCTGGTAACGGCAAAAATACAATAAAAAACTGCGGTTGCCAACCCGCTCGCCAAGCGTGGCAACTATGGCAATATACCCCCCATGATTAAAGTTACGAAGAGACGGCCCCCAGTCCCTGGCGGCCCCGCTATTCCTGGCTACGGTGGCGACCATGGTAACGGCGGGGCAGGGGGTGCTAAGAATCTCCGGTGGAGGTTCGGTTGCCACCTACGACGACTTGACCTGGCAACATACAACGCACGCACCCTGAGGACTGACGAGAAGATTGTGGAGCTGGAAGAAGAGATAGACAAGTTACGCTGGCATATTATAGGATTATCCGAAGTCCGAAGAGAGGGGGAGGACACGGTAATCCTCGAATCCGGAATCTTGCTCTATTACCGGGAGGGCGACCATCTGTCCCAAGGAGGTGTCGGATTTATCGTCCACAAGTTTCTCGTTAACAACGTTGTAAAGATTGAGAGTGTGTCGACGAGGGATGCGTACCTTATACTCAGAATCACCAATCGGTATTCGCTGAAGGTCATACAGGTTTACGCACCAACCTCGGCACACCCCGATCAGGAGGTGGAGGAAATGTATGAGGATATATCTAGAGCCATGCATTCCTCCAAAACCCAATATACGGTGTTAATGGGAGACTTCAATGCAAAACTAGGCACAAGAGAGAACGGTGAGCTGAAAGTGGGGAAATTTGGAATAGGGCAACGGAACCCAAGGGGCCAGCAGCTGGCCGACTTCATGGAGAAAGAGGGACTCTTTATGACGAACTCTTTCTTCCAAAAGCGGCTCCACAGGAAGTGGACCTGGTCGAGCCCCAACGGTTCGACAAAAAATGAGATTGACTTCATTATGACGACCACACGACAACTGTTCAGTGATGTCTCAGTGATCGCGAGGATGAAAACCGGCAGCGATCACCGAATGGTTAGAGGCACACTGAACCTAAACGTTAAGTTGGAGAGAGGTCTCGTCTAATGAAGTCAACGCTCCGTCCCCCTCGTGCTCTAATCCAAAGTCCCGAAACCTTTCAGCTCGAGTTACAAAACCGTTTTCAGTGCCTAGAAGACTGCAATGAAATGGACGATTTGAATGACAAGCTCGTGGAAACTGTCCATGCGGTCGGAGCTAAGTTCTGCAAGACCCGCCGCAAAAGAACACAAAAACTCTCCGATCACACTCTTAATCTCATGGCTGTTAGACGGGAGATGTAGCTACATTCTTCAACAGATTTGACAGCATACAGGCAACTGAACAGACAGATCTCCAAATGCATGCGGCGGGACTTACGCAACTTCAATACAGCTCGTATTGAAGAAGCAATCGAGCGGAACCAAGGCTCCAAAGTCTTTGCCAGAGATCTGTCTGCCAGAAAGAGCCAACTGTCAAAGCTGAAGACTGAATGTGGCAGCATCGTTTCCGGGGCACCTGAGATTTTGAGTGAGATTGAGAGGTTCTATGGGCAGCTGTACACGTCATCGTTGGAGCCGCACGCAAGTGTGAGTAACGATCCAAGAGCGAGTCTTATCCGACATTATTCCGATGATATCACGGACGTCAGTCTGAGCGAGATTAGAATGGCTCTCCAGCACCTTAAAAACGGCAAGGCCCCAGGCGAGGATGGAATTACAGCGGAGCTTCTGAAAGCGGGTGGAAAACCGGTACTTGAAGTCCTTTAGAAGCTCTTTAATTCCGTCCTCCATGGTGGCATTACACCGGAGTCGTGGAGCAGAAGTGCGGTGGTCTTGTTCTTCAAGAAAGGCGACAACGCTCTCTTGAAGAACTACAGACCGATTTCCTTTCTGAGCCGCGTCTACGTGCTGTTTTCGAGAGTCATTACAAATGGTCTCGCGCGCAGACTTGACGACTTCCAGCCTCCCGAACAAGCCGGTTTCCGAAAGGGCTTTAGCACCATAGACCACATACATACCCTTCGGCAAATTGTACAGAAGTCCGAAGAGTACAATTTGCCACTATGTCTGGCGTATGTGGACTATGAGAAAGCCTTTGATTCCGTCGAAATTTGGGCGGTGCTGCAGTCCCTTCAGCGATGCCAAGTTGACTGTCGGTATATCGAAGTGCTAAAGTACTTGTACAGTAGGGCTACGATGGCTAGCCGAGTACAAAACCAGAGTACGAAACCTATCCAATTGCAGAGAGGTGTAAGACAGGGTGACGTCATATCCCCGAAACTCTTTATCGCTGCATTGGAAGATGTTTTCAAGTTTCTGGACTGGAAAGGATACGGTATCAACATCAATGGCGAGTACATCACTCACCTTCGATTTGCCGACGATATAGTCTTTATGGCAGAATCGCTGGAGGACCTAAGCACTATGCTCAATGACCTCAATAGTGTTTCCCAACGGATAGGTCTTAAGATGAACATGGACAAAACAAAGATCATGTTTAATGTCCATGTCACACCTATGCCGGTAGTTGTTGGGAACACTAAGCTCGAAGTTGTTGACGAGTATGTTTACCTGGGACAAATATAGTCCGACTAGGTAAGTCCAACTTCGACCGAGAGGGCAATCGACGGATTCAACTCGGTTGGGCAGCGTTTGGGAAATTACGGCACATCTTCTCGTCAGGTATACCTCAAAACTTGAAAAAGAGACTGTACACCCAGTGCGTGTTGCCAGTGATGACATACGGAACTGAGACGTGGTCCTTCACTGCTGGCCGGATGAGGAAGCTCAAGGTCGCTCAGCGAGCTATGGAGAGGGCTATGCTCGGAGTTTCTCTGCGTGATAAACTCAGAAATGAGGATATCCGCAGTAGAACCAGAGTGACCGACATAGCCCAACGAATTAGTAAGCTGAAGTGGCAATGGGTCGGCCATATAGCTCGAAGAACCGACAACCGATGGGGAAGAAAGGTTCTCGAGTGGCAGCCTCGTACCGGCAGGCGAAGTGTAGGGCGTCCC